GATCACCTCTTAACAGAGAGTTGCACTCATCTGCATGAGGAGATGTTTGGACAGCTGGCAACAAAATCTGGTCAAACTGGCAGCTTATAAGAAACATTGTAAAGAAAACAGAGCGGGGGAGAGAGTGAGGTTCAGGGGGTGAATTACTGAGTTTAGGACCCTGGGAGCTGAAGGAACTGTCATTGGTGACAGAGTGATAGGGATAGAGGAATGAGTCCCACCGACACCTTACTTCAGAGTGCGGTCTCGGTCTCCATGAGATCAGCGTTCCTGCCACATTTCACAATCTGTTTCCACTTGTCATCACTTGTGAGTTCTTCAGCAGCAGTGATGTAACCTGCTGTCAGATACACTGAGTAGATGGTTAGATATCGAGTGAGCTCGTGAGATTTCATATCCCTCTAATCATGTTTTGACTTGAAAAACAGAATTCTTTGTTCTTCAGATGCAAATTCCCACAGCTGGTACCACTTTTAAGTGCAAACAGGAACATCAAAACAGGAGGACGTTCTTCGGCCCCTCTGGCTGTTCTGTCATTCAGTGATGTCACTGCTGATCTGGGACCTAAAAGCACTCTCCTGCCCCTGCCCCATAAACACTAAACACTTCAGGATAATAAATGTCCATCAGTCTCAGGTTTAAAATGAAAATAGCAGCCAGCATCAATTCCTGATTGTGGGGGGAGTTCCAAAGCCTACTCTCATTTTTTTATTGTCTAAAGGTGTTTCTGAATTTCTCTCTGGAACAGTCAGATTTCTTTTTCACATTGAGGAAAGAGATCCTTCAGCACATTTGTTTAGACTGTGTTCCCCCTTCCTGGATTCTCCAACTAGTCAATCTACCCAATCTGTTCACCTTAATTATCTTCAAAACTTCAGTCAAATTGTTTCTTAGCTTTCTAATTTCCTCATTTGTGTGAGCTGTCACTTATAGCTCAGGTGTCATTCTCGTGAATCTGTCTGACTATCGCTCCTGTTGTATAATGTAATGCTTCTGAAGAAGTTCCTATTAAACCTCCGTGAAGCGTCACCCAATCAAGTAATGTCACATGGTCTTTAAATGGAGAATTGGATAATGCATTGTACTAATACAAGGCCCCAGTGGAGAGAGATGTGTTGTCTCTGGTTCTTCATAGAATTTGACATCATGGGCAAGGGCCCTTCAGCCCGTTATGTCTGTGCTGATCATCAAGCACTAGTCTACTCTAGTCCTATTTTCCAGCACCAGACCTGGAGCCTTGTATGTTATGGTCCTTCAGGTAGTTATCTAAATAATTCTTCAATGTTGTAATGGTTCTGTCTCTACCACCCTTTCCGGCACTGTGTTCCAGTTACCTAACACTCTCTGAGTGAAAGAATCTTCTTTAAATCCCCTTTAAACCTCCAGCCCTTTAACTTAAATCTCTGCACCCTGGTTATTAACCATTCAACTGAGGGGAAATGTTTCTCACTTTCCACCCTGAAATCTACAAGAGATCACACCAACTGAGCTAACCATTCCTTGGCTCAGCTTACCATCTAGGTCCCACCTTCTCAAACTCTCCCCTCGCCTGAGGCATGGTGACCTTCAAGTTAAACCACTGCTGGTTGTCTCTCTCTAATGAGAGAGCAGCCCTATGGTAAATCTGGGACAATGGCAATTTTACCTCAAAGTAATGATTATGGAAAAAAAAACATGTGACCCAGGAGGAAAGGCTGTTCAGAAGAGAAATAAGTTAGCCACTTTAAGGACATTGTCTCTTTAAGGTAACACAGGCAGTCAGTCAGTATCTGAAACCTGAAACCAAACAGACATTAACAGCACATGTTTGAGCAGGAACAGGGCTGCTGAAGAAGATTGTTAAAAGAATGTTAAAGATTGCGATACAATCATTCAAACCGCAAATTCAGCTGCAGCCACAGAAATTGATTGAAAAGTTGTGGGAGTTGATTTGTATTTTACTTTGGGCCACGAAGAAGTGGCTGCAATTGGAGGGAACATTTTCAAAGGACAGAAAGTGCAGGAAAAAGGCAAGAATTTCACCAGTAAGCAGGACAGAGATGCAATTTTACCTGCTTACAGAATTTAAAGCTGTACTACAGAAATTAACATTTAATCAGAAGGAAATACTACAGCATCACTGTAATAGATTTCAAAAAGCTCATAGACAAAGCACTGCAGCATTGCTATTATGTAGTTTAAATGTTTAAGAAAATTAAAACCATTTTGATTCTGAAATACAGAAATGCTGATAGCTTTAAAGCTCACAAATTTGCAGTTTTTAATTCATTCATGGAAAATGCACATTGCAGGCTCTGCCAATATTTAGGGTACATTCCTGTTGCCTTCTCTGGGTCAACAAGAAATCCTGGCCTAACCAGCAACACCCATGTTTGAGAAATGATCAACTAACTTCATGCAAAATACCCGGCTCTAAAGTAATCAGCATTTATTTATTGCAGAATCCTTAAAAATTAGTGGAAAATAAAATAGTGAATTCAGATGCAATTGATTTAAAACAGCTTTATTGAAATAAAAAGACATACACACATTACCGAAACATCAGCCTTTCTGCTCCTATGATGCTGCTTGGCCTGCTGTGTTCATCCAGCTCTGCACCTTGTTGTCACACATTATAGCTATCAAGATTTAATAGATGGGTCACACAGAATTCAGGATTGGACATCTGGGAGAAACCATTTCTTAAGGCACAGGATTGCTCCAAAATTAAAAATAATCTCAAACTAAACAAGTAAATATGCTATTGTATATGAAAGAAGGCACAGGTACAATCACAAAGGTTCTAGCAGGCTTTAATAATCTATTTAATCTAAGAGTAAATATAATTCTTAAACAAACAAGATTTAACAGAAGAGTTCAGCAGCCATGGAAATCCATCGATAATTCTATTAATAATCACTTCATTAATATAATTAATGTTATAATAATAGTGAAAAATTGTGACCATGGAGTTTTGAGACAGAATTGTTGTCAGTATTCTTGATGAGTCTTTGGCAGAATTATTACAGTCCATGGAAGATTTGACTTCGGAGAAAATTATTGAAACTGTGCTTGAAGCAGTGACCAGGAAAACTCTCAATAAAATCCCAGGGGAACAATCTGAGATAACAAGGTGTGGAGCTGGATGAACACAACAGGCCAAGCAGCATCAGAGGAGCAGGAAAGCTGATGTTTCGGGTCTGGACCCTTCTTCAGCATTTTGCCCTCCTTCTGCATTTTCTGAAGGGTCCAGACCTGAAACGTCAGCTTTCCTGCTCCTCTGATGCTGCTTGGCCTGCTGTGTTCATCCAGCTCTACACCTTGTTATCTCAGGTTCTCCAGCATCGGCAGATCCTACTATCCCAGGGGGAGAAGGATGACTTTGTCACAGAGAACCAACTCAATATCCACGTTATAGGCTACAAACACTGAATGTTGGTGTGTCTTTTATCTCTTTAAAGAGTCGACCAAAGAGCTGTTACTGAGACTACTATCAATGCTGTGAAAAAATAAAACCTCACAGGCATGACAAAAGAAGTCTATGTTTATAAAACCGTATGGTAGAGCAGCCACCAGGGCAGACGACAGCCAAACCATTCCGAGGGGAAATTAGTGTTGCAGCCAATTTGATTTTTGACAGAACTTATGTATATGAATGGACATCTCATTAAAGTTAAGCTTTGTACAGAGCCAAATGTCACTGTCCTATTAGATCAATCACTATGGCTCAAGGAACAGCAGATACAGTTGACAGAAATGAGACTACATGCTCCAGATGGAGTAACTCAACAGTAAGGGGACACTTCAAAGTAACTATACTTCAATGGTGATTCTGAAAGAAAGGATTTACATACATTTGGAGAGGCAAGGATTGATTAGGAATAGTCAGCATGGCTTTGTGCGAGGAAAATCGCATCTCACAAACCTGACTGAATTTGTTAATAAAGTAACCAAAGCAATTGATGAGGCGGAGTGTTAGACGTTGTTTATTTGGATTTTAGTAAAGCCTTTGATAAGGTTCCGCATGGTAAACAAATTAGTAAAGTTAGGTCACATGGGATTCAGGGTGAGTTTGCCAATTGGATACAAAATTAACTTAACGGCAGGAGACAGAGCCTGACAAGTGGGCAGTTGTTTTTCGGACTGGAGGCCTGTGACCAGCAGTGTTCCACAGGGATCGGTTCTAGGTCCATTTTTGTTTGTCATTTATATAAATGGTTTGGATGACAACATAGGAGGCATGGTTAGTAAGTTTGTGGATGACACCAAGTTTGGTGGTAGAGTCGACAGTGAAGAAGGTTTTCTAAGATTACAAAGGGATCTTAATCAATTGAGTCAATGGGCTGAGGATTGGTAGATGGAGTTTAATTTGGATAAATGTGAGGTATAACATTTTGGAAATATAACAAAGACAGGACGTATAGAACAGAGAGACCCCGGGGTTCTTTGAAATTTGCATCACAGGTAGACAGGGTGGTTAAGAAGGTGTTTAGCACACTTGCCTTCATTGCTCAGACCATTGAGTACAGGAGTTGGGATGTCATATTGAGGTTGTGCAGATTAGTGAGGCCTCTTCTGGAATACTGTGTGCAGTTCTGGTTGCCCTGTTATAGGAAGGATATTATTAAACTGGGTCTGGGTGGGATGCTGTTTGGAGGGTTGGTGTGGACTCAGTGGGCTGAATGGCCTGCTTCCACACTGTAGGGATCCTATAAGACAGGAGAGTAAATATTTCAATTCAGTGAGTGGTCCAAATCTGGAATGTACTGATCTGGACTGTATCTGGCCTGAGAGTGTGGTGTAGGGAGGATCAATGGAAGCTTTCAAAAGATAATTGGTGACCTGAGGCAGACGAAAGCACAGACCGTAGATATGGAGGGAGTCACGGTAAGGGGTAAGGTTTCGTGTGGCACAAAGTGAGTTGTTCTTTCAGAGAGCAAGCACCACCTGATGGGCTGAATGGCCTGCTGTGTTCTTTAGGCATTCTGTAGCAGCTGACAGAGCCTCCTTTCTGTTTTCAGGGTTACCAAAGATGCAAGTGGTGAGGAGATACAATGGAACCCCCCAGCCACCTGGGAACACAGGCCCTGCCTTACTCATGCAGCTTGGGGACATTCTCGAGGTGATCTGTGCTGAAGCTCACTCCACCTGGTGGCAGGTAGGAACACCCTTCTCCAGAATGACCCACTGAGAGAACGGCTCTGTCTGTTACTACACACCCTGTTATAGAGTGCAAATACCCCCAAACATTCCAGATCCAAATCCCACTCCAGGGAATTCACCACAAAGTCTGCGTGAAGAAGTTGCCCCTCAGCTCCTTCTTAAATCTATCCTCTCTCACCTTAAACCTATGCCCTCTAGTTTTCAATTCCTCACCCCGGGAAAAAGTCTATATGCATTCATCCTGTTTATGCCCCTCATGATTTTATACACCTTAATAAGGTTACTCCTGATTTTTCTATGTTCCAAGGAATAAAGTCCTATCCTGGCCAACGTCTCCCTATAACTCAGGCCTACTAGCCCTAGCAGCATTATAAATCTTCTTTGCATACTTTCCAGTCTAATTGTGTCTTTCCTATAACAGGGTGATGAAAACTGTACATAATACTCCAAGTGCGGCCTCACCAATGACTTATACACTGTAACAACGTCTCAACTCCTATACTCAATGCCTCGACCGATGAAGGCCAACATGCTAAATACCTTCTTCACCACCCTGTCTACCTGTGATGTGGCTTTCATTAAACTATATACTTGTACTCCTGGGTCCCTCTGTTCAACAACACTCCTCAGGACTTTACCATTGATAGTATAAGTCCTACTTTGGTTTGACTTTCCAAAGTGCAACGCCTCACACTTATCTGTATTGAATTGTATTTGCCAATCCTCAGAGCACTTCCCCATCAATTCAAGATCTTTCTGTAAGCAGGAGGTACAGTGGGAAACAGCAATGTAGTGTTTCAGGTTTAACCATACCTTGACACCAGGTTCTCTCTGACCTGCTGTACAGTCGTGATGACTATGGCGATGTCTCCCAGAATTCTGCTGGTATGACTCTCAGCCGCCTTCTGATTCGCTGTCGATTGTCTGAAAAACCCATCTGGTTCACTAGTATTCTTTAGGGAAGGAAACTTCCATCCTTACCTGGTCTGGCCTACACGTGACTCCAGACCCACAGCAACGTGGTTGACTCTTAACTCCCACTGGGGAGAATTTGGGATGGGCAATATATGCTGCTTCGCCAGTGACTGCCACATCCTGTGAACATATAAAAAAAGTCAGCAATTCTAGAATGGTTTGAGGAGAATGTTCTGCAGCAAAAGGTTTCCATTTGAGTGAGAAGTGAGTCTTTGTGAGATTGTAACAGCGATCTGCTGTCACTGGGAGACAGTCTCAGGGATAGAGATTGCTGTCTCCTGCCATGTGAGCAGGTTAATGGTAGACTCCTGGGAAATTGCACAGTCATCAGATGTCTTTAAACAAGATGGGACAATGTTCAGCCTATCTGTTTAAGCTTGGCGATGGGATATCTTTCAGAAATCATTACCCCGACTGAAGTAATCAACAATTCTTTAGGTTTGGGGGTTGGCAGTTCATTTAGTAAATCTAGCGCGGATTTGATTAGGGGTGAAACAGGTTTAATAAATTGCACTAAGGTCTTCTTTTCATTGGAGCGAAAAAGGATGACAGGTGCCTTGATTGAGGTTTACAAGATGATGAGAGGCATAGATAGAGTGGATAGTCAGAGACATTTTCCCAGGGCGGAAATGACTATTCCAAGGGGGCATAATTTTAAGGTGATTGGAGGAAGGTATAGGGGAGATGTCAGAGGGAGGTTCTTCACGCAGAGAGTGGTGGGCGTGTGGAATGCTCTACCAGCGGTGGATAATGGAGTCAGATACTTTAGAGACTTTTAAGCGACTCTTGGATAGGCACATGGAGGATAGTAAAATGTAGGGTATGCAGGGTAGATTGATCTTAGTAGGATAATAGGTCGGCACAACATCGTGGGCCGAAGGGCCTGTGCTGTGCTGTACTGTTCTATGTTCTGAGGTATTTGATAGCACAAGAGTTGATGCTGGTGGTGTTGGTTGATGTAACCTACCCGGTTGTGTGAATTGTGTTTGATAATGTGTCCTACACTGAGTTTGTCTGAGACTTATAGAGGGTGGAGGACAATCACAGCACAGAGTCAGCTGAGCAACAGGAGGCAGAGAGTAGCAACATTCGGTTGTTTCTTGGTTTGGAGGAAGATTTATTTTGGGATTCCTGAGGGTTCCCTTCAATCATTATGAAGAGTGGACACTGCCCAGTCTCGACATTTCCAGGTGGCACCAGAATGAAAAGATTGCAAACTGTGAGGGGTCGGTGAGAGGCTTCAGGAGGATACAGATACAGATACAGGCTGGTGGGATTGACAAAGAGACATTTAAGGCAGAAAATTGCAAAAATTGTACATTTGCTTCAAAAGAACAAGGAGCTCTAATATCAGATAGAATAGAATGGCAATTGTCACTTGTATTTATGAAAATACAGTGAGATTTATATAAGTTGCCATAATTCATCTCCATTTTAATGACAAAAATTATAAAAAGAAATAATTGAGGAAAAGCTTGGACAAAGTACATCTTCTGTTCGCTCCGTGGCTCCTGGGTTTGTGAAGTGGTGACAGGCCATTGCCGAAGCTGCCCGTGAGGTCACCAAAGGATTTCCTGACCAGACCCACCGTGCTGTCACTACCAAAACTGACTTCAAAGCCACTACATCGCCGCCATAGCCAGGAGGGACAGACCAGACCCACTGGTCTGTTCACTAACACTGAAGCTGTCATTGGTAAAAGGGATGCTGGAGCAGAGGGATCCCAATGGGTAAATGGACACAAATGATTGAAATTGGCAGGTCGGATTATAAACACGGTCAGTGAAGCATACAGGACACCAGGCTTTATTAGCAAGAGGCAGAGCCTCCTCTACTGCAGGAGAATGATAAACCGGCACAGAGCAGCAGCCGCAACTGGAGGATTGTGTCCCGTTTGCATATGTACAATCCCCGCAGTGTGGAAACAGGCCATTTGGCCCATCGAGCCCATACTGACCCTCCGAAGATCATCCCACTCAGATCCAACTCCATCACCTCCCCCAACTCTATCCCTATGGCGCCACAGTTACCATGGCTACCCCAGCCTGCAGCCACACTTTAGGAAAGATGTGAAGGCATTGGAGCAAGTGCAGAAAAGGTTCTGGAGAATGGCTCCAGGGATGAGGGACTTCAGTTACAGATAAACACATTGAAAACCAGCAGTGATCAGGACAGAGTAGATTGGGAGATACTGTTCCTGTTGGTAGAAAGATCACGAGTCAGAGTGTCTAGTGGGCAGAAGCAATGTGATAGGAAAGAAAGCTTTTCCATACAGTGAGTGGTTCAGGTCTGAAATACACTGAGACTGTCCCACAGGCTGGTTCAGTTGAGGCTCTCAAGAGGGAATTGCATTATTATCTGAAGGAAATTGATTTGCAAAACTGGGGAAAGGATTGGGGGGGCACAGCAAAACTAACTGGAAGCTCTTCATGAGTTTCAGAAAGGACACGATGGTCTAAATTGCCTCTCTTAATCCCACAAACAAGAGACGATGTTAACAACTTTGCGCCTTGCGATATCCTGGTTTGTGTATGTGTCTGTGTTGTATCACATCTGTGTCTGTCAGAGTGTGCTATCCTGTGTCTTCATAATCCTGTGTTTTTGAGTGAATGTTCCTGCCTGTGTGTCTGTGAGTATTCCACGGTGTGTGGGAGTGAGGGAGTGTGTGGGTGTGTGTGTGGGTGTGGGTCTGTCTGTGTGTATGTGTGGGTGTATGTGTGTGTGTGTCTCACTGTGTTAGTTAAATATCTCTGTCCTTGTTTCAGGGTAAAAATCTGACAACGAGGGAAATTGGATTTTTTCCAAGTGACTCAGTGAAGCCCTTGCCCTGTGTAAGTACATAGAACATAGAACATAGAACATAGAACATTACAGTGCAGTACAGGCCGTTCGGCCCTCGATGTTGCGCCGACCTGTGAAACCAATCTGAAGCCCATCTAACCTAAACTATTCCATTATCATCCTATGTTTATCCAATGACCATTTAAATGCCCTTAAAGTGGGCGAGTCTACTACTTTTGCAGGCAGGGCATTCCACGCCCTTACTACTCTCTGAGTAAAGAACCTACCTCTGACATCTGTCCTATATCTATCACCCCTCAATTTAAAGCTATGTCCCCTCGTCCTAGCCACCACCATCTGAGGAAAAAGACTCCCACTGTCCACCCTATCTAATCCTCTGATCATCTTGTACGTTTCTGTTAGGTCACCTCTTAACCTTCTTCTCTCTAACGAAAACAGCCTCAAGACCCTCAGCCTTTCCTCCTAAGACCTTCCCTCCATACCAGGCAACATCCTGGTAAGGCTCCTCTGCACCCTTTCCAATGCTTCCACATCCTTCCTATAATGCGGTGACCAGAACTGTACGCAACTGTACGTAAATACATTTCCCACCTTTACCAATATCATCCCTGTCAGTGGCATTCAGTGTCTGTGAGGGACAGTGTGTCACCAAGCGGGGGATGTGAGAGAGAGAGACGACCAGCAACATGTGGTCCTTTGGTGTTGGTGGGAGAGGAGTCTGCAATATAGCCCCTGGCAATGACCATGACCTGTGGGGATAAGGCAGTATGGCCTCAATGTGTGTGAGCTGATTTTCTGGGATTACTGTTCACTGACTCATGTTCCTCATTCTGTCCTCAGGTCCCAAAACCCACAGATTACTCTGCATTCCCATGGTATGTATTTGTGATCCAACAGACTGTTAAACTGATTACTGTAAAAACAAGGAGGCTTGATGTCCTGAGATTGCTGAATAACCAAGCAGATTAAAGGGTGTCAATTCATTGGAGTTCATGATTTGCTTGGCCCAGTTGAGACTGGCATTAGCTGAAAGGATCATAACCATTTATGGGCAGTTTAATGAAGTTGCTGTTTGTCGGATTATCCAGTGAGTGAATCAGGTCATCCTTGACCAGCTGCCTCATTGTGTCCAGGTCAGGAAACCATGAGGAGCCTGAGCTGGAAGGGGCAGATTCCAGAGTGATCATAGAATCCCTACTGTGTGGAAACAGGCCATTTGGCCCAACAAGTCCACACCACCCCTCCGAAGAGCATCCCACCCAGACCCATTTCCCGACATTTCCCATGTCTAACCCACCTAACCTAAACATTCCTGGGCTTTACGGGCAATTTAGCATGGCCAGTCCACCCTAACCTGCACATCTTTGAACTGTGGGAGGAAACTGGAGCACCCGGAGGAAACCCACGCAGACATGGGGAGAATGTGCAAACTCCACACAGATAGTCGCCCGAGGGTGGAATGGAACCCAAGTCCCTGGCGCTGTGAGGTAGCAGTGCTAACCACTGAGCCACCATGTCACTGGAATATTGATCTGGGGATCAATATTCCAGTGTGATTGTGGGTAATCTATGGAGCAGGCCCCTGGGGAGAAAGTGGAAGCTGTTCATGTTGATTCATTTGAGATGGAAACAGGAGCAATTCCTCACAGGAAATCACACTTTGGTCTCCAGAGCCTGAGTAATTGAAGATGTAATATGTGGTTATTACAGCGAGTTCAGGAGGAACAGGAACAAAAACAAAGTTGCTGGAAAAGCCCAGCAGGTCTGGCAGCATCTATGGAGGAGAGTTAACGTTTCGGGTCCGGTGACCCTTCCTTAGAACTGATGGTAGCTGGGGAAATGTCAGTTTATATGCAGATGGTAGAGTATGGGGATTGGTTGGTGAGTAAATGATACGATAAAGGATAGAGCCCGAAGAAAGAGAAGAGAAGAACAGTTGGATAGACAAAGGAGTTGATAACTATCTGGCTAGGACAGTGAATAGCTGTTAATGGGGACTGTTAGTGGCTAACAATAAGTAGTCTTATCACATAGCCTGCTATTACACACTACTACAGGGTCAGTACTGAGAGAGAGCCGCACTGTCAGAGGGTCAGTACTGAGAGAGAGCCGCACTGTCAGAGGGTCAGTACTGAGGGAGTGCCGCACTGTCAGAGGGTCAGTACTGAGGGAGTGCCGTACTGTCGGAGGGTCAGTACTGAGGGAGTGCCACACTGTCAGTGGGTCAGTACTGAGGGAGTGCCGCACTGTCAGAGGGTCAGTGCTGAGGGAGCACCACACTGTCAGAGGGTCAGTACTGAGGGAGCGCCGCACTGTCAGAGGGGCAGTACTGAGGGAGCACCGCACTGTCAGAGGGTCAGTACTGAGGGAGTGCCGCACTGTCGGAGGGTCAGTACTGAGGGAGTGCCGCACTGTCGGAGGGCCAGTACTGAGGGAGCGCCGCACTGTCAGAGGGGCAGTACTGAGGGAGTACCACCTGGTGGTAATACCTCAGGCAGCTGCTGTTTAAAATGAGGTGAGTGTACCCTGGTGGTCCTGTCTTATAGTTATTCAAGATAGAGCATTATTTATAAATAGTCTTTCTCTGTGTTATAACAATTTGTGGGATCCTGTTGTGCACAATTCTTCAGTTGTTTTCCACATTATGACAGGGACTGAAGTTCCAGTGTACTTTTTTAGTAGTAAATCCTTTGAGGCATTCAGAGATATTGAAAGGCGGTGGGGAAATGCAAATCTTTCTCGGCTGATTGTGAAAATCATTCCAGCGATAAACAATCACTAAAACTGTTTCTGTAATTGGTCAGGTACGCAGGGCCAATGGAACGGCTGCAAGCTGAGAATGAGCTGATCAACCGTGGCAGTAGCACCTTCCTGATCCGGCAGAGGGTGAAAGAGTGTGGGGAATATGCCATCAGCGTCAAGTGAGTCATTGTTGAATCGCACAGTTTGTGTTGTTTCTGTGTCCATTCCCCACCAAGGCAAAGACTTAAAGAAAAGAGAAATTGCTTGGGGTTCAGGTCATTAGGAAGTCGAGCTGTTTTAACTGTGCCATTGAAGTGAACTTGTCAAGAACTGCAAAACAAAATCTAAAACAGGGAGTACAATGCCAAAGGAGGTGCAGGAGCAGAGGAAGTTGGGATGGTATGTGCTGAAGGTACTGAATGATCCTGTTACAGGTGGAGAATTTGCAACCCTTTATTCTGAGATTATTCCCTCTGGTCCTAGACTCTCCCACAAGGAGAAATAACAGGTATCAGGGGTGAGCTGGCAAGATGGATAGAGAACTGGCTTGGCCATAGGAGACAGAGGATAGCAGTGGAAGGATGCTTTTTGGAACGGAGGGCCTGCACAAATGGCATTCCACAGGGATCAGGGCTGGGACCCCTTGCTGTTCACAGTCTACACAAATGATTTGGAGGAAAATGTAGCTTGTCTAATTAGTAAGTTTGTAGATGATACAGAGATTAGTGGAGTTGCGGATTTTGAGGAGGATTGTCAGAGGATACAGCAGGATGTAGATCGGTTGGAGGCATGGGCAGAAGAATGGCAGATGGAGTTTAATCTGGACAAATGTGAGGTGATGCATCTTGGAAGGTGAAGTACAGTGGAAATTATACAGTGAATGGCAGAACCCTTAACTGTATTGAGATGCAGAGGGATCTGGGTGTACAGGTCCACAGATCACTGAAGATGACAGCACAGGTAGATAAGGTAGTAAAAAAGGCCTATGGCATGCTTGCCTTCATTAGAAGGGGCAGTGAGTATAAGGATAGACAAGTTATGCTGCAGCTTTATAGAACTTTAGTTAGGCGATACTTGGAATATTGTGTACAGTTCTGATCACGACACTACCAGAAGGATGTGGGTGCATTGGAGAGGGTACAGAAAAGGTTTACCAGGATGTTGCCTGGTATGGGGGATTTTAGTTATGAAGAAAGGTTGGATAGACTGAGACAACACAGTGTGGAGCTGGAAGAACACTCAAGTCAGGCAGCATCAGGAGCAGGACAGTTGACGTTTCGGGTCATTTGTTTTCACTGGAACGCAGGAGGTTGAGAGGCAATCTGATAGAAGTTTATAAGATTGTGAATGGCATGGATAGAGTGGAAAGTATGAGGCTTTTTCCCAGGGTGGAGGGGTCAATTACTAGGGGACACAGGTTCAAGGTGCAAGGGGGGAAATTTAAAAGAGATGTGAGAGGCACATTTCTCACATAAAAGGTGGTGAGTGCCTGGAATGCGCTGCCAGAGGACGTGGTGGAAGCAGACACAATAACAGCATTCAAGGAGCACCTGGACAAGGGCATGAATAGGAAAGGAATAGAGGGATATGAATCCTGTAAGTGAAGACAATTTTAGTATGGAAGGGCAAAATGAGTCGGTGCTGGCTTGGAGGCCAAAGGGCCTGTTCCTGTGTTGTATTGTTCTTTGCTCTTTCTCACCTTTTCACAAGACAGATGAGGAGGAATTTCTTCTCTCAGACAGTCATTAATCTGTGAAATTCCTTATCGCAGAGGACTCTTGAGGTGGAGTCATTTAGTATAATCAAGGCTAATTGAGACAGAATTTTAATCAGGAAGGGAATGAAGAGTTAAGGGGAAAAGGCAGGAGAGTGGAGTTGAGGATTATCAGATCAGCCATGGTCTCACTGAATGGTGTAGCAGACTTGATGGGCTGAATGGCCTATTCCTGCCCCTATGTTTTGTAAGCTTTATTTATAAATGCTCTATTACATCCTTCATAATAAAGTCAAACATTTTCCCAGTAACAACCATTAAGCTCTTCAGCATATGGTTACATATTTCTTGTCTTCTTCCCCTTTAAAAATTAAGGTGTGACATTGGCAGTTTTCCAATCCTCTGGGACTTTTCCAGAATCTAAGGATTCCTGGCAGATTATTCCCAGCTTCCACTATCTCTGTAGCCACTTGCTTTAATAACCATGCATACACCTGATCAGGTTCGGGGAATTTATAGGTCGTTTAGCCCTATTATATTTCTGAATACTTTTTCTGGTGTGTCTAGTTTCCTTGACAGTGTGAGAGAAATAAAATTTTAACGAGATTTAAAGATGCTGAGTGGTTTGTATCAGGTAAACATGGAGACAGCCTTTCCACTTATTGGAGAATCAATGGGTAATAAAAATATAATTACTAATCAATCCAATCTGGAAATAAATACTTGGAAAGTGGTTCAAAGCTTGTGCCTGAGGAGATGGGTGAGGGCAATAGACACTTGTGGGTGGGAACTGTACCAGGAACCAGGAACCAGGAACCAGGAACCGGGAACCGGGAACCAGGAACCAGGAACCGGGAACAGGGAACAAAGAAGAGTCAGATAAGATCCTGAGAATACAAAGGGTTTGGTGTAAACAGTAAACACTGGTACAGAGTTAGTCGGCCGAGTGGCCTGTTTCTGAACTTCACCCTCATCACAGTTCCCCTGAAAAGTATTATGAGGTTCTTGAAAGATTAAACAGATGACAAAGTTATGGTTTTGAATCTGTGTGTGACCCTGTCTGCCTCACATCCATTTCTCACTCTCTGAACAGGTACAACAATGAGGTAAAACACATCAAAATCATTTCCAGAGATTCATCATTTCACATTACCGAGAACAAGCGATTCCATGCTTTAACCGTGAGTAATGTTAAAGCCAAATACTTGGCTTCAGAAATAATTCTCTTTCGATATTCAGTCCAGGGACCTGAGTGTCACAGGCTGAGCCAGTATTAATTGCCCATCACTACATGCCCTTGGGAAGGTAGTGAGCTGTGTTTTTGAATCGCTGCAGTCCATGTGCTATAGGTAGACCAACAATGTCTTTGAGAAGAAAATACGAGACCTAGCAACACTGCAGCAATAGCGATATATTTCCAAGTCAGAATGATGAGAGGCTTTGGGGGGAACTTGCAGGGGGTTGGTGTCCCCATGTATCTGCTGCCCTTGTCCTGTTGGATGGAAGTGGTCGTGGGTTTAGAAGGTGCTATCTGAGGAGCTTTGGGAATTTCCACAGTGTATCTTGTAGATGGTACACACTGCTGCTACTGAGCATGGGAATCATGTTTATTTTGCCAGGGGGTCGAGGGTTTCCATCGATGAACAGGAAAGAGGGAGGGGTAACTTCAGTGAAATGGAGGTGTTGTATGTGATTGGCTCTCTGTGTATTCCAAGGCTGATGGTTGATTACTGTGGGATGACCTCTGGTGCCCTGGACCCCACCAATGTTAGGTGTGAGGAATATTCTCGGAGTCTCCTGCTGTGATCACTCACTCATTTCCCCTGAACATGGAGTATTACTGATCCATATGAATACAAAGTCAGAGTTTTTTTTTCAGAGTCAGGGACTTGTGGTATGTGTGAAAGCTGACCATCCATATCTGTAATGGTCCAGGGGATATAGCCTGGTACCTGGCATTTTCAGTGATAGAGTTAACCAGACTGTAAAACGGTGTTAACATAGAGAAGGAGATGAGCACAGTGCTTCATGCTGTTATCCTGATATCAATTCCACATATTTGTGATCCCACGGTAGTAAGTATGGTGTACAGGAATCAAAGGAGGGATCAGTGTCAGAGCACTGAGGAAACCTTTGCATGTTGTACCCTGCGGGATTGTAGAGTGTGAGGTCCCATTAAACAAGCTTGATTTCACTGTTATTACACCAAATGCAAAGTTTAAAACAGCAAAGAGCTTCTGGGAAAAAACAATCAGTTTCAAGACAGGAGGCAGTGAAGTGAATTGCGCAGCTCTTTCAAAGGGCTGGCCCAGGCACAATGGGACGAATAGTCTGTCTGTGCCCTTTCATTTTTTGATTGTGTAACATACCTGGTGATTCAACAGATTAATGACCAACGTGTTATTTATTCACAGGAACTTGTCGAATATTACAAATATCATTCACTGAAAGAGGGGTTCCGCTCCCTGGACACCACCCTACGTTACCCCTACAAAGACCCTCAGGATGGCTTGGCTCAAAGAGCTCACCGTGGTCGGGGCTCTTGTGAGTATTTATCCCCTTAAACCACTTGGTAATTATGATCTAAACAACTCAAATGGTGGAATCAGTCAAATTAGATCAGGTCCTCCCTGACCAGCTGCCTCACTGTGTCTAGATCAGGAAACCCTGAGCTCAAAGGGACAGATTCCAGTGTGATCTGGGGATCAATATTCCAGTGTATTCATGGGTAATCAGTAGAGCAGGCTCCCCAGAGAAACAGTGGTCAGTGTTCATGTTGCTTCATTCAAATGGAAATGAGAGTGATTTCTTGCAGGAAATCACATTGTGGTCTCCAGGGCCTGAGTAATTGGAGATGTGACGTGTGGAGATTACAGCGAGTACAGGAGGAACAGGGCTCTTTGGATCGATGGTTCCCAAAGCTGCCCCCCACTGAGAGGAGTTTCCTCACCTCATGTCTGAGCTCATTGAGGGATGGAGCATTCTGTCTTCATTGGGTCTAATGATCTTCTCTGTATCCTTCCAATTTAGTATGATGGTCTAATGTTATCAGTGTTAGACTATTAATAGAGAGATCCAGGTTAATGTTCTAGAGACCTAGGTTCAATCATGCTGGAGCAGATGGTGAAATTTTGAATCTAATAAGAATTTAAGAGTCTAATAATGTCAATTTTTAGGAAAAGCCCACCCGACTCACTAATGTCCTCTAGGGAAGGAAACAGCCATCCTTATGTGTCTGACTTACATGTGACGATAGACCACAGCAATGTGGTTGACTCTAAACTGCCCCCCCCTGTGATGGGTAATAAATACTGGCCTAGCCAGTTGCTCCCATAACCCATGAATGAATGACAAAATTGATGGTGGATGGTGAGTGAGAGGAATCTGGCTGTTTCCAGGCTTGTGATTCCTATTGTTGTATCAGCTGGAGTCCTAGAGTCATAGAGTAACACAGCATGGAAACAGGTCCTTCGGCGCAAACTGGTCCATGCTGACCATGGTGTCCACTCAGCTAGTTCCAATTGCCTGCAATTGGTCCATATCCCTCTAAACCCTTCCCATCCATGTACCTATCCAAATGTTGTTTAAATGGAGCTGTCAATGATGGTGCCTGTAAAACTGAAAACAGGCCAGAGGCCAGAATGGGAGGATGCTGCAGAGAATAGTAAGGTTACAGAGAGAATCAAGGCTGAGGAGGGATTTAAAGAATGAGGAAAATTTTAAAATCAAAGCCTGTTGTTTAAGCTTTTGTGGTATATACAGAGCAATGGTGAGGGCAAAACAGACACCAGTGTAGAGATAACATTTTACAAATTAAATACAACTGAAGGGAATGACATTATTAAAAAGTTGTAACTGATTCAGCCCCCATTCTATTTGACCTTTTTTGAACGTTTGCTCAGAAGTGAGTGAGTGTTTTCCCATGATGCTGTTATCTTGTGTGTTTGTAATTAATATCTTTTCTCTTTCATTCCTATCTTAGCTGCTTCTGTATTCTGTGGGTTTTCATTTGTAAATCCTGCCGGTTTCAGCTTTCTACCTCCTTCCTCGACACCCTTCTGGTCAGGTACAGCTCCCCCCTCCAATTCCTCTGCTTTAATCTCTGACTTTGTTCGGTGACCATTTGCTGTTTTCCAGAGAAAGATTAGCCTGAGATTCAGAACAAAAATCTGCTGTACAGAGTCAGCCTGGTGCCTCAAGCCACATGCTCTCCCAGTCTATACTCTCTTCCTCCATAGCTCTCTCCTCATCACAGTGTGCAGCTGGAGGAGCACAGAGGGCCAGGCAGCATCAGAGGAGCAGGAAAGTTGATGTTTTCAGAAGAAGGGTCCCCACCTGAAATGTCAACTTTCCTGCTCCTCTGATGCTGCCTGGCCTGCTGTGCTCCTCCATCTCCACACTGTGTTATCTCTGACTCCAACATTGGCAGTTCTTACTATCTCTCCTCATCATGCTCTTTTTCCTGATCACCCCCTGTCTCCATCATGCTCTCTCTCTCTTTCTCTCTCTCTCACCCCACATCACTCTCTCTCTATCCCCATCACTCTCCCTTTCTTGATCAGATTTCACATGACACCAAGTTATAGTCCAACAGGTTTATTTGAAATCACAAGCTTTCGGAGCGCTGTTCGTTCGTCAGGTGAAGTGAAGGGAAGCACACAGGCACAGAATTTATAGACAGAGAGATCAAAAGATCATACAAATGGTGTGAGAGGAGTGTCGACAGATTGAATAACAAGTGAAGGGATGACCAAAGGGATGATCTGATTAAATGAGGCAGAGAGATAATTACAAAAAAATAAAAATAAGGTGGTGCTGGAGACAGACCAAATGACAGGAATAACATGATAGGTATAAGAGTCACATGCCGAGGGTCTGACCAAAGTAACAAGTAATCCAAAACTGTATACACCAATTAAGGTAGAGAGATCATAACAATTTATCAAGGTGATGGTGTCAAAACAGGACAGAAAGGAGGATTTTACAGATACAGAACAGTGTGGTGAGGTTACATGTAGCACAACATGAACCCAATATCACGGTTGAGGCCATCCTCACGGGTATGGAATTTGGCTATCACTTTCTGCTCAGTGATTCTGTGTTCTTTTCTATCCCAAAGGCCGTCTTGGAGGACGTTTACCCAAAGATCTGAAGCTGAATGTTCTTGACCACTAAAGTGTTCCCCCATTGGGAGGGAATATCCCTGTCTGGTGATTGTTGTGCAGTGTCCATTCATCTGTTGTTGTAGCGTCTGCATGGTCTCACCAATATACCATGCCCCGGGGCATCCTTGCCTGCAGTGTATGAGATAGACAACATTGCCCGAGTCACATGGGTATCTGCCATGTATGTGGTGGGCGGTGTTCCCACGTGTGATGGTAGTGTCCATGTCGATGATCTGGCATGTCTTGCAGAGGTTGCCATGACAGGATTGTGTGGTGTTGTGGTCAATGTTGTCCTGAAGGCTGGGTAGTTTGCTGTGAACAATGGCCTGTTTAAGATTTGGCAGTTGTTTGAAGGCGAGAAGTGGAGGCGTGGGGATGATCTTGGTCAGATGTTTGTCATCATTGACGACATATTGAAGGCTGCGATGAACAGGGCATAGTCTCTCTGCTCTGGGGAAGTACTGGACGATGGAGGTTACTGTAT